TATGCATTAAATATAATCTAAATGTTGTATCTTCAAGATAATTTTGTTTTAATCTCTCAGCAAAAAAATTTTTATAAACTGCTTGAGAATATTGGAACAAGCAAAATTTTTTTCTACAAGAGAAAAAAATTTCTCTAACAGCACTTATAATTGTCCATTAGAAATCTATAGTTTAATCATCTTTACATAAAAGTAAAAGTTTACGTTGAATTCTCCGAAATAATTTCTTATAACAGTTTTCCTCATTATTTAGCATTTAGACATAGATAAAAGAAAAAAAACTTGCCATTATATTCAACTGTATTATAAAAAGTTAATAAAACCGAGCTGTACAAGTTTAAATTGTACCATCAGCCAAAAACAAGGTAGTATTTAAGGCTTATATAACAACTTTATCGTTTCAAAAAATAATAAATTTTTGTTCTTCATCTAAAAGGCTATCATATTTTTAAAACTTATATAAGATAATGTATTTAAATATTTAATAAGAATACCATAACTAGCGTCAAGTATTAAACTTGTCGATCTAGATACCTTTCTCATAATGTTTTGTTTAATAACATGCGTGGATCCTAAATTAATTCTTTCTACATCATCTAAGCTTACCGTTTTTTTGCTATCGCTCCATTAGAAAGTATGTTTTTTTAAACAGAATCATTATAAACGTTTAAATAAATAATTAGCGCTCTCATAAAAAAAACAGTCATGGGTTCATGAGTGTGGGGTTTCATTGCTATTAAATCATTTTTAATTAAATTATTGTACACCTTTCCTGAGTACTTTTTTTTAAACAATACCAGACAGTCTCGTTTTTGTTTTTTCTTATAATATTTATAGCTTTTCGATATCATACTGTAGTATTCTTACTAAATGCCTAATATTTTTTTAATAATTTATTTTTATAAATATTTATATTTTTTAACATTAATAAGAATGAATAAAAAGGGAGGAATAAAAAAATCTCCTTATGACCAGTTTATAGAGACCCGGTCTTACAATAAAATTTTTTACATTAAAAGTGTTTTAGATAATACTTTAAGTTCAACATCCTTCCCCAAAAATACGACGCATACTTGGCTATTTTTTTTCTGAAATTATTATTGTAGGATTTATCAATGAAACGTTTAGTATAATGTGTGTTTGACATGTAATGTATTTGACGCGTCAATATTTAAATAACTATAATAAAATAATTCCATGTTTAATCTCAACAATTATAATATAGCCAATCTCCTGCTTAGAGATTAACTTTTCTGATCGACAAAATTAATTTCTTGGGGTATTTTTTACAAAATTTTTTTATATTTTGGCGGAATTAATGCAGAATCATTTACGTGGTACAATACCACCGTTTTAAAATCAGATTTACCATACAGTGATTTACTTGTTTTTTCTAAACTGTAATTTTTGATTAAACTATAATACTGTAATGTTCATTTTCTTTATTGATTAAAAGATAGTACAGATGTAAGTTTTGTTTTAAAATACAAAAAAGTCGAATCAATTAAGTATTTATAGAATATATTAGTTAAATTCTCTACATTCATATTCTTTATCAATACCATCCATAATGTCTTTCAAAAGGGAAATTAACCATTTAATATCTGTAGACAAATGTGTCACATAATAAAAAAGAATAATTAAATTATGATTTATCTGAACTAAAAAATCCCAAGAACAACCCATTTTTTCAACAATCATTTTTATAATTACAACAATACATTCAAGTCGTACAGCTCGCGAAATATTTGTATATTTTTGTGTGATATCTTCACATTCATTATTAATAAGTGGTATATTGTAATCACGAAGGTAAATAGACAAATTACGAGACATGAAATACTTTACCACTTCTTTTATAAACATATTGCACTATACTATTAATTCTTTTATAGACTAACAAGTATTTTTTTTAAAAAAAGAATTTTCTTCAATATTTTTTATTTGACATTCAATACTTGCGTTTAAGCTTCTTTTTCTCGAATAATAACGGCTTTTCAGATACGATAACTCAGATATAAATTTTTGATCTATATTTTTAAAAAAGATAACTTTTTTTGAAATCGAAATTTTCTTATTTTTGGCTTTATCAAATGAAGATTTTAATCGACTTAGAACCTCCTTACAAAAGTCAATAAATAAATCTAAGTTTGTCAATTGTTGACTATTAAATTGTGCTGTTTCATTTTGAAATACAGGATTGTAATTTAATTTTTTTTAGAAATCAGATATCTATTAAATTGTTTAGCATAATAATCATTAAGCTTATTCATTAAATTTTTTTTATCTTTATATGTTATAATTTCTTCACATTTTATATTACCATTTTGATCATTTAGCGCCTTATCAGAGTTTAATACTGTATCATATTGTTTTTGTGGTTTAAAATGATTAGATGTACTACTATAGTATATATTTGGACTATTTTGAAATATTTTTTCCGAAGGTCTTGCATTTGCAGAAGGTACACATTTACTATCATCATCCAATTTAATTTTTTTTATAACAGGGTTTTCTAAAGTTTCATTGTTATCATTTTTAAAACACTGAGAATTCGTTGCATCAAGAATGAGATTATTCAATACAGAGTTTAATGTATTTTTATAATGTAATTCTTCTTCTAAATCTAGAGCATTTTCAATAATCTTTTCTAGTTCAAAATTTTCTTGCTCCAAAAACTGATTTGTATTATTGTTGCCAGTTGACGTTTGATTACATTGATTTACATTTTTTGCACTACAACAATTATTCATATTATTTGCAACAGATTCCGTAGTACTGATAGTTTCATTATTTGTTGAATTATGTATGCCTGTAAAAAAGTAAAAGAATTTGAACATTTTATGGGATATATTTTTAATTTGATTTTTTATATTTTTTAAAAATCTATAATTAAACAGATTAAGATTTTTTAACAACTTTTTATAAATAAAATAAAATGATCCTTTGTGATTCACAAAACCGCCCCGTGTGTCATTGTGCAATCTAGCATATAATTTATAGTAAATGTTTATTTTTTTGTTTAATTTTACTTCATTTAGAAACTTTTATGATTTTTACATAACAAATATTTAATATACATTTCTTAAAAACTTAATTAAAAATAAAAGTTTAGATGGCATAGATTTAAAAAAATAAACAAAATATAAAAAATAAAGTAAATAAAAACAACTATAAAAAACAAAAAAATAAAAGATAAAGAAAATGTTAAAGAAAAAAACGCAAGATGAAAAAAAATCAATAGTAAACGATATGGATAAGACTGAAGAAAAAAAATATTTTTGCTCAACAATGCAAGATGAAGAATGAGGCAAAGCATGCTGTAGGGATGAGTAAACAGAAATGGAAATCTCATGAAATTTAAGAGATGGTTTTGAAATGTCTATATTTAAATAATTTATAATTATTAAACCTATATTTTACTCCAGCACATGTCATTTAAAAATCTTTTTCGG